TCGATTAAACCAAACCCGATCCAAGTCAAGGTTGAAGCCTGTGTTAAAGCCAGGTATGTTGCATTATATCTTCGGTTAAATCGAACCTGATCCAAGTCGATGTTGAAGCCTGTTGTTAAAGCCAGGTCCTTTGCATTTTCTCTTTCGGTTAAATCGAACCTAATCTATGTCGAGGTCGAAGCTTGTGTTAAAGCCAGGTCCATTGCATTTTTATCTTTCGGTTAAATTGAACCCGATCTGAAGGTCGAAGCCTGTGTCAAGCCAGGTTCGTTGCACTTATCATCTTCGATTAAATTGAATCTGATCCAAGATCGAGATCGCAGCATGTGTCAACTACAGGTCCTTTACATGTTGAGATCCTGCCTAGTGTCAAACTGCATCCATCTCCATCTTACCTTGTTCAAATAGAATTTTCGCCTTCCCAATACTTTGTCTACCCTTTTAGTTCTGCAAGGATACACAAAGGGGGGCAAGCTATAGACACTGTATTTGGTCCGGCTTGTTTTTTGTTGTTAGTACTTTATTAAGCTTTATTTTAATTGATTTAGTTTAAAATAACATAATTTACTTGATTATAAGTTTTAATGTAAAAGTTTAAATTAAATTAAGTTTTAAAATTAGATTTTGTTTGAATATAATTGGTTTTTTTAGGATTTTATTTAACTGATTTTAAGAATAAAATTTAAAAAGCTGTTTTTTTTCTCTCCTTTGATTTTTCCTTTCATACATGTCATCTTCCCTTCTTCTCCTCCCTTTTTTTTTTCTCTCTTATCTTGACTTTTCTTTTTCTTACCGTTATATTTCTGTGTATTTAAAGAGGGCTATAGTGCACAAGGAAAAATGAACACTGAAAGGTCATGTAGAAAGGAGGAAACAAAAAGAGAGAGCAATACAGAAGCTAGAATTTGATTTCTAAGGAAGTCATTCTCTCCCACCAAAAACCTCAACTTCATTTTTCTTATTTTTTCCTTTTTCTTCTCTAAAATCTCACCATCTCTGTCCTACTTTTACTTGCTTTTCTTCTTCTTTCCCTTCATCTTCTACCTCACCACCACAATTCCCTCTTTCTCTCTTCAAACACCCATTTTCTTTTCCTTTTTTATTTTATTTTCTTTCTTTCCTCTCTCTACAACTCATTTCTCCTTCCATCTTTTCTTCTTCTTCCTTCTCAATTTCAAGCTCCACCAGAACACCCACAGTGAACTCCGATGCAGTGCAACGAACTCCGACAGCAGTGCAACAAACTCCAACAGCAGCACAGCGAACTCCGGCAGGATCCGGTAGCTTCCAGTAGCATTCCCGCGACATTCCAGCAGATTCTCTGGTAGCAAACTCGGTATGACCCGGTGGCCCACTCTACAAACCCATTCCACGGTGGCAAATCTGACAGAGTAGCGGTTGACTTACTTCCGGTGACCTTCACGAACCAGAGGCAGTGGCGTAGTAACTCTGGCAACAGATAAGGTAGCGGGGATTTTGGCAACACCCAACCTCCATGGCACAAATATAGCAGATCTCCGGCGTCCTTTTTTGGCTAGCAGTAGCACTTCGGTGACCACCACTCCAATAGGCAGCAAACGAGCGGCAAATGGTAGCAGCAAATTTACTTCTGGCGGCGGCAACACGAACTCCGACGAACTCCCTCCTTCCTACCATTGAAGCCATATAGGTGGATTATGAACAAAAGAAAACGTTCCTTTAATAAAAAAGGAAAATTTTGGTTTTTTAAAAGGAACTTTTTTTTATTTAAAAAAAAAAGAAAACATTTTAATTACGGTGTTTTTTCATTTTCAAAAGTATTAAGTTTTGCTCCAAAAATAATATGATATATTTTTTAAATAAAATTGTTTTAAACTAAAAGTGTTTGTTTTAAAAGTGAAAGCAAATAAAAAAAAATGAGGATTTTAAAAGAAACAAATTGTTTTAAATAAGTTTTTGAAAAGAAAATAAAAGATTTTGATAAATATAATTTGTTTAAAACAAAAACATTTTATTTGGTAAATCAAGATAATTTTTTAAAATAAAGAAGATTTTGTTTTAAATTTTTAGTTTTTTAATGCAAAATAAATAAAATCTTGTTTTTTTTAAATAAAAAATAAAATGTGTTGTTTTAAAATAAGGTTCCTAAATGATTTACTTTGGAAAAAAGAGTAAAGGTTTTTTAAAAAATAAATTTTGATTTAAATTGCAAAGTGGTAAAAATGTTGAATTTTAAAATGAAAGTTTTTTTTTTAAGCTTCCTTTTCTTTTTTAATTTTTTTTAGATGGTATTAAGAGATCTTGTTTTGATTTTAAAATAGATGTCTTTAATTTTTTTTTTTTAAAGTTTAGTTTTTAGAAGAAGGAAAAATCTTTTTTATGGAAAGTATTAAAAGTAAAGTTTTTTTAAAAAGGTAAATAGAAGGTTTTAAAAGAAAACAAGACTTTGTTTAAAAGTAGAGTTTTTTTTTAAACATAAATTTTGTTTGATAAAATGAAATTTAAATTTCAAGGTAAAAATTTTAGTTTTAAAGTAAAGATTCGTTTAAATGTTTTTTTAAATGAAAGTTTTTAATTAACATGTTTTTTTCTTTAAAAAGAAATTAAAGTTTACACTGTAGAGTGTTGACACAGTGGGAAGAATCTTGAGTATTAACACTTAGGTCTGAAGTTCAAACATATTGCATTCCCTCATCTTTGTGATGGAGAAAATACATACATGCGCAGCGGAAGTGAGCAAGAATCGAAATAACAATCTAGATGCATAATGCAACCTAGGATTAAACATGCATGATCATACATTATGATGCTTAGAGATAAGTAGAGAAAAATACAAACCTTTGTAGCTTTTCAAAAATCATCAAATAGCTCCAATGAAGGACCACCAAGAGATCTTCCTAACTATTCTCAAGGCTTGGAATAGAGTGGTGGGACTCTTTTTAGAGAAGGAAAAAATTAGAGAAAAGTGGAGCTAAAAGGAGTTATGTAAGCTTTTTGAAAACACATCAAATGGCCAAAGGTTCCAAGAGATCTTGATGTTTGAACAAAAGCCTTCTTAAATAGGCAAATTACATGCAACTCTTGCATGTCAAAGTTCACCAAAATCTTACAACACATATTTCACTCATGCATGGCATGACTAAGTGTCAAAATGCATGTCTAAGTTCACCAAAAGCTTACAACACACATTCCACTCATGCATGGCATGACTAAGTGTCAAAATGCATGTCTAAGTTCACCAAAAGCTTACAACACACATTTCACTCATGCATGGCATGGCTAAGTGTCAAAATGCATGTTTAAGTTCACAAAAAACTTACAACACACATTCCAATTATGCATGCATGGCTAAGTGTCAAAAAGTGGATTTTTGAGATTATTTAAATGTTCCACTCAACAAGTTAGTGGAATTTTCCACCAACTTGGTTAAAAACATTATTTTAATCTACTTTAGTCAACCTTTGACTTTCTCTGGTCAAAGTCAACTATTTTTTGGTTTTTCCAAAATCCGATGTTTGATGAAATCCATGCCTCCGATTATGAATCCGCATTCATAATTTTAATATTTAAATCCTATTTAAATATTTTGTCCAAATTTCTCAAATTGATATCATATATCAATTACTTAATCATATCTCATATGATTAACYTAATTCGTACGATTTGAATTATTCCTTCAAATTATTYCAAGTTTATTCCTATATGARCTAGCCAGGGGACYTTATGGACCTACAGATCATGAGCTCCAACGAACCGAGATTAACCGGTTAAACTCTTTAACCTAGTTAACCAACAATCGTTAACTACGCGGTCACTCCACTAAAGCTCGTAGCTGCACTCTCCTCACTGTASATATWTTATGTCCATTTGATATAACCATGATCGGTAAGTCGAMCCTTCACAGGTTGTTYGTAATTACAGCTRGGTCAAAATACCGCTTTACCCCTGTAATTACCTCTTGTTCCTTAAGTCCCACTAATCCTCTGATGAACAATGATTTGTAGTCCAACTATCAAATCAAAAAATCCTCTCAAACCTTTGGATGAGGGTGGCGCCAATTGTTCAAGACCTGGATTCAGCCCTTAAGAGAACAACATCTCTACTATCCCAAAATTGGGTAGAAGTGAATTCCTTCTTGCACCCTCTGTCCCTAGCTATCTACTGGGTCTTACCCCTGAAATGGGAGGCTTATTGAGCCAGCGCTGTTGAGCTGCTCTCACCGATGCAGATCTAAGGATAATCCCGAGTAAACAGAAGTTCATAGTTAGCTCAGGATTAAGATCGAGTTACCTAGGCCATCAAAGTTGAGATAGTCAGTTTCAAACAATAAACGGTGTTATAAAGTAAAAGTGACTATCTCATGGTCCGGTCTTATGCAAACTCTTTGCACGGGACACCCCCACTCGCATGTCTTCACATGAACGAATTAGGATCACATCGTTTGTACTAGCTACAAAGTGGGCCACATCCATAGTGTCCCCAGAATAAGGCGCCCAACGTTATTCCTATACTATAGACCATTTAGACTGTTAACTCAAACTTGATCCATATTTATGTCTCTTACATAGAGTTTGAGTCTCAGGTAATAGTCTAGGATCCTTTATTTTATTGGATTTAGATATAGTAAGAACATTTTATTGGATCAATAACTACTTATTGATTAAAACCTTCAATAACAACTTTATTGAATGATAAAAGTATATCTGTCATTTTCAAACTATGAGTTTTAGGACATAAAACCCAACACTTTGTAACTCGAAATATCCAAATGCAACTAGTATCAATGCACTGCAGTATATATAGTTCTGGAGTCGAATTTTTATCTCGAAATTTAAAATTCATCCTCATTGCAACTAAATGCATTTTAAAAATCAACTTCTTCTTCGAGTCAAATACTTCACCCTCCTTAACATCGTTATTCCGAAAGACTGGACCATGACTTGCAATTTCTAAACCTCAGGCTGTCCGATGATACCATTGCATACCATTTCCCTACTAATCTCATTGTTTACCTGTTGCTCATCAAGTGCATTATTGTCATCATCGTTCCAATATTCTTCATCGTCTCCTTCTTGTTGGGTTTTATGCTTTAAACTCGTGGTTAGTAAATGTAAAACAAATTATTTATTCAATAACGTTTTTTGAAGTTTTAGAATTGCATTGACCCAAATCCAATACACCAACATCCAAGGTTTTTTAATGTAATTGGAATAGTATATAATTGATATACACGATACATAGATTATATACAATCGGATCATGTTCCAGTAATAACCTGAATGATCTATCGTATATGGATAAGGTTGGGTACCTCATCCTGGTGACACTATGGATACGACCAACTTTGTAAAAGTTACAAATGACTTCATCCAAGTCGTTCATGTCAAACTCATTATATAGGATACCCTCACTCGCATGTGGAGACATGCGAGTGAGAGTATCCTATATAATGAGTTTGTATAAGATTGGACCACGAAATTATTGATCTTTAGTTGTAACACAGTTAACTAATTAGATTCATATTTCACAGGATGACCATGTAACTCGATCTCAATCCTGAGTGAGTTATGAACTCTGGCCTGTGGCGAATCGTCTTTTGATTTGCATGGTTGACTCTGGCCCGAGACGCCTACTCAATATACCTAGTATTTTGGGGACGAGTCTGAGTGGGGAGTTGGGAATATAACTTCACGAGATAGAATTCACTCCTTCCCGACTCTAGAAAAGTAGATGAGTTGTTCCTTTAAGTGCTGATTTCGAGTCTTGAACAAGGGGTTTCACCCTCTCACTGGCCCGAGAGGGACTTCGTTTTATGGTAGGACCATAAATGATGGTTCGTTAGAGGATCAATGATACTTAAGGAGTAATAAGTAATTACATAGGTAAAACGGTAATTTGACCCAACTGTAGTTACGGACAACTCGTGAAGGATTGAGTTATTCGTTATGGTTATATTCATGGACGCAAAAATTCTACCGTCCGAAGAGTACAACTATGGGTCTTTAGCAGAGTGACTCACAATTAATGAATGTTGATTAATTTAATTAATAAGTTCAATTAATTAATCTCACATCATTGGAGCTTCTAATTTGAAGGTTCATTAGGTCCCTTATTAGCCACAATGGGTAAAACGAGGATCAAGAATGTGAAATGTTCAAATTTAATAAGGGAATGTATATATAGTATAAACCATCTATATAATGTACATATCGATATGTTATATAATTAATTTTGAATAAGGATTCGAAATTAATACTATATTGTTATGAGAGAATTATTTGAATAAGATTCAAATAAAATTTAATATGAATTGGATTCATATTAAAATTATAGGTTAAAATTAATGTGCATGAGATCAATATTAAAATTATAGGTCATGAGAGAGATGTGCATTTAAATAAAGTTATAATTAAATATATGGTATTTAATTAAAACAAAAACATAATTAATCAGTTAGATAATTCAATTATTTTATTAGTTACTTTAATTTAATTAGTTTTAATTAACTAAATAACTCACTCTGTTGCATAATGTAAGGAAGAAAGATTATGGTGAGGTAGTGAGTTAACTTGCTCCCTACATTTCACTCTTCTTTAAATACAAAGAGTTTGCATTATAGAAGAGTTGATGCATTTTGGAAGATCTCTCTCCATCTTTCACAATGTTTGCAAAATTTTCTATTTCAAAGACAATTCCCACAAAGCGATTCTCGTCTAAAGGATAGCGAGGAAGTCATTGTGGTGGTGTCGGTGTTCGATAGGTCTACTATGAAGAAAATGTTCTTCAAAGGTAATAATTTGTTCTCTGTTTTTTAGTTCCTTGTGTGTTTTAATTCAAGCAACGCGTTCACGCACTTTCGTTGGGGTTTCAATCCTTTCACTTCTAACTCTATCAATGGATCATATAATTCGTCACTTTCATTATCTACCTCTTCATTATTATTCTACACTCCCAGTGCATCCTAGTCTCATACTCTGTCATCTCCCAGGTTACATGGAATAACATCTTAACCTAATGGTGTTAGAGATGCTATATCATGACCTATAATACAAAAACTGGTTCAGGTTGCGGAAATCGAAATCGGAGCAAGATGATTATAGGAAGGGTGTGTAGGTTGGGAACAAATGATAAGGTAGGAAATGAGGGTCTCGGCAATGAGAGAATACAAGTTATGGGCACAGGAATGGGATGACACGTGTTGGACTATATAATATGGAAAAGAAGGCATGTACATTTCATTCTCATGTACCTGCTTTTGCATGGTAGATATGCATATAGGCAAGTCAGATACATCTTCACCAGTGGAAAAAAAAATACTCTGGTCATTATCATCGGTTATCTCCAATATACAAACTTTGGTTTTAAAATAATATAAACGTCTAGTTATAATATCAAATTGTAGAGTGTTCATATTACTTAGTCTATACACGTGACCTAGAATTCTTCATACATGGTTGTAGTATCCACTATCAATCCTCTCGTACAACCACTGACATAATATTTTTCACTATCATTCCATTCTCCACTGAATATTATAAAAACACGACGCATCATGTAAATAGAATAAAAATAGGCAAGATAATAAAGCCAAAAAAAAATGACGAGAGGTGTTCAACAACCTTGAACATTGAAAAAAAAATAAACATTGAAGTAGGAAAATATAACTAAAAAGAAAGCATTTAAAAAAAGACAATTAAAAAGGTATTTAAAAAAAGACAACAAAAAAAGCTTGATCGTCCCAGACTGTCCCAAACTAATCCTGGATTCAAAATTGGAACATAATTGAATGTTCTTCAATCCTGGTGTAAATTTTCATTCAATCCCGGACTAGGTATGCGTTCCAAGTTCGAGACAATAAACATACCAAGTTTTTTTTAATG